CAGTCGCTGCATCAGTCGGTGAATCAGTCGCTGCATCAGTCGGTGAATCAGTCGCTGCATCAGTCGGTGAATCAGTCGCTGCATCAGTCGGTGAACCGGTCGATGAGCCAGTCGATGAGCCAGTCGATGAGCCAGTCGATGAGCCAGTCGATGAACCGGTCGATGAGCCAGTCGATGAGCCAGTCGATGAGCCAGTCGCTGAATCAGTCGTTGAGTCGGTTGCTGAATCAGTCGCTGCATCAGTCGGTGAATCAGTTGCTGCATTAGTCGGTGAATCGGTCGCTGCATCAGTGGGTGGATCAGTCGCTGAGCCAGTAGCTGAACCAATCGCTGAACCAATCGCTGAACCAGTTGCTGAACCAGTCGAAATTCCAGCAGAGGCCGAGCCTGAAGAAGAGTCACCCCCAGTGTCCGAGATAGAGGTTGAAGAAGAATCACAGTCAGAGGCTGCAACCGAGTCTGTACTTGCAGAGAACCCTATTCCACCAGAGGAGCCAGAAGCTGAGGAACCCGCGCTCATTGAACCAGAGGCGGAGCTAGAGGTAGCACCAGAAGCGGTGCCAGCAACTGAGCAAGAACCTGTGCCAGAACCAGAGGCTGAGCCAGAGCCTGTGCCTGAACCATCAACAGAGCCAGAACCCGAGCCACCTGTGGAGCCTGAGCTTGAGCCACCAGCGGAGCCTGAGCCAGAACCACCAGCGGATCCCGAGCCTGAGCCCCCAGTGGAACTCGAACCTGAACCTCCAGTGGAGGTTATACCAGAGCCACCAATGGAGCCAGAACCCGAGCCACAAGTGGAGCCTGAGCCTGAACCACTGGTGGAACCAGCACCCGAGCCGCCCGCAGAGCCAGAGCCAGAGCCAGAGCCTGAACCAGAGCCTGAACCACAGATTGACCCGGTGGTATTGGTAGGGGGAGTAGCCAATAAAGGAACCACGGAGGATATTGCCCCTGTAGACAGGTCCTTCGACTTCAGTCAAAGTCCAACTCGACCACCACCACCTATTCCCGTCGATGAGCACAGAGAGCGCGACATCGCAGTTGACGATGAACTTTCAGCGGAGCCTCCTGTCCGCGAGAAGACCCGTCGGAGGCACTCGCATGCTCATCGTGACGGCTATCATTACTCGAGTCGTAGGCGTGAAAGTGATGCTAGTTACAGGGAGCGCCCGATCATGGCTGTACCAGACCCTTCCAGCATGCCAAAGACCAAGCGTCGCGACAGCATGAACGAACGCGAGGCTGAGCGGAGAAGAGAAAGACTACGTGAGGCTGAGAAAACGGGTAGCAGTAGCGACAGAGAGAAAGCTTATCCGGAGTATCGGTCCCACCGCCGCGATAGTAGGAGCGACGAGAGACACCCTAAACGTCGCCCCGTTGAGGAGAAGGAAGATGAAGCAGAGAAACTAAGGCGACGTGAAGCTCGAAGGGCTGAGAAAGAGCGACTTGCTGCTGCGGATGCTGCTCGGCTCAAAGCTGAAGAAGAAGCTAGAAAACTGGAACATCGTGAACGACGCCGTGCAGCAAAGCGAGCAGAGGAAGAATACAACAGAGCTCAAGAGGAACGTCGAAGGCTCAAAGAAGAGAAGAGACAGGCTATTGAAGATGAGGAACGACGAATTCGACACGAAAAAAGGCGACAGAGGCATGAGGCTGAGAAGGAAGCGAAGCGTCTGGAGCTGGAGAAATTGGAACAGGCTGCACGTGATGAGGAAGAGGCCAAGAGAGTTCGACGGCAAAAGAGGGCAGAGCGGGAAGCAGCTAAACTAGCAGCGGCGCTTCAAGAAGATCTTATCGAGCCACCACGCGACACTGCTCGACGTGTTGCAGAGGACTATGACGAGCCACTGCCACCTCCTCCTCTACCACCCGTCGTTGACGAGACCCCACGCAGTGCACCACGAAGACGACTGAGCATCCGAGACACTCCGCCGGGCGGAAAGCGCGGTGGTATCTTTGGAGGCATTTTCGGTCGTTCGAAGACGGAAGCTGCTCCACCTGTGCTTAAACCCACTCGGTCAACCCGCGCGCGCGCAAATACGTTAGACGGTCCCATCAAAGTTCCAAGGAGAGAATTCGAGCCAGAGAGTTCTCCAAGCAGAGACATCTCATCCAACAATGAGAGCCGAGACCGGGGCGAACGTGCACATCGTAGTCGACGTTATTCACACCAGCGCCGCCAATTCGGATCGCCTGAAGAAGAAGCCGAGTACTACAGGTGGAAAGAAGAACGGCGCTATATGCGACGTCCAGAACATGAAATGCCTGGTGGTAGGGAGGGCGGAGTTACTTTTGCATCGCCAATCGATGACCTTCCTCCGCCCCCACCTAAACCTTTTGAATACGACGTCGACGATGAGGCAATCGATGATGCGGAATCACCTATCATCGAGGATGCGGCCGCAGTGGTTGGTGTAGCCTCTTACTCGGACGAGGAACGACGCGAACGTCGACGCAGTCGGCGCATGTCCAAGCCAGAGGAACGTCCCAAGACACGCCGCATCTCCGTCACTGAGAAGGAGCGACCTTCCGGTCGTCGCCCTGAGGCTGACCGGCCACGAACTCGGGACCGCGGAGATGACCGACCACGTGTAAAGAGAGGCGAGAACGAGCGCCGTGACAGAAGAAAGAAGGAAGAATCGAGTGGTCTCAAGGGACTATTTGGAGGACTCAAGAAGAGAATTGCTTGACTAAGACGATAACGACGACACACTGACAAAGAAGATGAGAAAAATTCCTTTACGAATCTGGGTCAAAGGCGTTAATCGGCGGGTGGAATTTACAGCATCTTGCTTCTCTTTTACCGACCGAAAAGGAATAATCGTTTACATCAGGTGTTCTCTGTTTTTTATTTCCCTCAGGAGTCTGGGACGGAAGTTTGGCGTCCGGTGTAAGAGGGGGCGGAACATATGTAATAGTACTTTGTACCGTTTCCTTTTTCTACTTCTTTCTTCATTCTGTTCTTTTTATTTTCTTCGTTTATATTTAGATCACCAGAGATGACTCGCAAGAGGACACACATACAGTATAACTTTGTATTTAACGTTGAGAAGATGACGAGGTAGAGATATTCATGATAGGAATGCCAAGTTATGTCGATTATGAAAAAGGTTTGGGTCTTGAGATTTGCTTGCTTGTGTGGAAATGACTAAAGTGAATGTAACTCTATAAGAAAAAGCGATAAAGCGTTGAAAAGGAAAAGAGAAGAGCATGCTGACGATTTACCAACTAGTTCACACGATAAACCACGACATGTTCATTTACAAAAGAAACCCGGGAAAAAAAACTTCAGCTCCAACCTCACCAAGCCCTCCCCGCATCCCTAGCAACCCACCTCCCCCTACTCTCTGGCCTCCCATTCCCACCACTAACCCGCCTCACCCGCCCCTGCACAACCTCATAAACCCCATCCGGCAAATCCGTCTCCCGCTCACTCTGCGTCCTTACCATCCGTTCCTCACCCAGCAGTAACCCCGGATACCCCAGTCCCTCCTCCTGACCCACCTGATCCACCTCGCTCCTCTCCCCAGCGTAACCTTGCAGCTCAGCCTCAGACTCCGATTGCTGATGAGCCAGTAAATCCGGGTTGATGATGCGGTTAAGAATGTTATTCGAGATACTAATGTCCGAGGTACGCGCTGAGCGCGACATGTAATTTGGCTGTGGCTGTGACTGGGAATACGAGTGTGAGAGGGCACTATTGCTTGCGCGGCTGGTGCTCCGGCTTCGGGGGACGCTGGGGGCGGGGGCGGAGTCGTCTTCGAGGTAGAAAGCGTTGGCGTGGGAGGGAAAGAGGAGGGAAGAGGAGGGGCGGGCGTGGGAAGAGGAGGTGGTCATTGTGCTTGTTGCGCTGTGTCTTTTTTGGAGTTTCTTGCGGGAAGGGGTGTCGTTGGTGTGTGTTTTTATTAGGGTCAAGGGGCTTGGACTATTGTGGATGCAGGGATCGATATCGGATTCGCAAGAGATTTGGCGACCGTGGGGTGGGTTGGGGGTGAGTATGGTTTCGGGGTAGGGATTGTGGGCGTTGTGCATGTGTTTCTTTTCGTCGTATTGATGGGCAGTGTCACCTCGGTTGCTGGACTTTCCGCTACTTGCGGTTCCGATTAGGCGTTTGTGCCAGGAGGTGTTTGCGTAGTTGAAGTTGAGACGTTTTTCTGGGTCTTGCTTTCCAAACCATAGAGGTTCGTCTTTTGAGATTCTGACAGCATTGAGCCATGGATTGCCTGGGGCGTCGTCTGCGAGCTGGAAGATGACATCGACTTCTTCAAGAGAGCGGAATGCGGTCTCTGGGTAGAAAAAGTATACGAGAGGGATGATGGCAAGGTTTGTGGTGGCAAGGATGATCCAAGTTCGATAGGAGATACGCTGGAATGCTATTGGCGTGATGAAAACGACCCTGTGATTGTGTTAGCCATAGTATAACAAGAGGGCTGAGATTGAGGAATATCATACACGAAGTTGAGCAACCAGTTGGCACTTGTCGAGAGACCATTAGCCGGACCACGGATTCTTAAAGGCACAATCTCGACCTGATACAGCCATGCCATGCCCTGCCAACCAATAGCAAAGAAGACTGAGAAGATGAAGAGAAACACAGTACTAGCGATTCTGGCTTCCTGCATCGCCTTCTCAGACCACAAATACTGCAAGATGGTGATTAGAACCATGCAAGTCGACATACCCGTAGCACCAAACATCATCAGAGAACGACGGCCCCAGAAGCGATCGATTCCGACAACGACAATGAATGAGGCGAGAAAGTACAGAGTTGCTGAGCAGGATGCTAGGAGCCGGGCAAGCCATCCGGTGTATGACATGCGGGTAAGGAAGATCCAAGAAAGGTATTGCAAAACCAAATTGATGCCTGTGCCTTGCTGGAAGACTTGGACAAAGTAGGCCAATACAACACGATGAAAGCCCCGTCGTTCTTTGTTAGAGAACATGCCCACACTTGAACCTTGTGCCATGAGCAGGATCGCATCCTTGATCTGCAGAAACTCATCTTTGGTCTCGAAGCTGTCTGGATCGTCGTCATTCAGGGCGGCTAGCACAGTGAGTGCTTCTTGTTCGCGTCCAGTTAAGATCAGCCAACGAGGGGACTCTGGCAGGACGAATAGCATTGCGATAGCGGGAAGTGCGAACACGATTTGTAAAGCGATGGGAACGCGCCATGATGCTGAAGAGCTGTTGATGTAGGCGAAACCGAAGACGAACCAGTATGACAATGCGATACCGGCGGATACGAAGGCGCCGGCGCTAACCATGAGGATTGTTCCTTTGCGATGGGACTTGACGCATTCTGCTTGGTATGCTGGTGCGGTGGCTGTGGTAAATCCATTGCCTAAGTAGAATGTTAGCATTCATTACTGGAAAGATAGTAAAACTGCTTACCGAAACCAGCGACTGCTCGACCAATGACAAATTGCGCAAAGCTGTATGATGATGTCTGAATGATTTCGCCAATGACCCAGAAGGTCAAGCCCAGGATGAGTGTCCGTCGACGCCCAAGCAAGTCGCCAACGAAAATAGTTGCAATGGCCGACACGATGCAGCCCAGATGCCATGTTCCAACTGTGAGGCCTGTAGAAGTCAGTCTCGTCAGGTATCGCCACAGACACGCTGAGATTTGATATAGCTATTCTGAGTTGGCATTTAGACGTACCAGTGACCCATGCATCGTGGAATGAAACATCGTTGACGATGTCAAGTTGTGGAAATCGAACGAGAAATTGCTGAACGGTCAAAAGACCGCCCATCACACCCTGAGCGTATCCGAAGCACCTGTATCACATTAATTGACGAACCATAAGCGCAATGATCCAGAACGGCATGTCGACGTACAAAAAGCAGAAACCACAAGTTACACTAATGGCAGTCGCTAGACTCTTGCCCCGGAGTCCTAAGAATCGTGCCATTGCGTTTGAGGTCCTGCAACAGTATCAATGGAGTCAAGGCGAGGACAGTCCAGCGGGCTATCAAATGCATGGGACAATGAGCTGCGCTGTGTACGCTCGCCGGCGCAGGCGTTGCGACGGAGTGCTTCTAGTATTTTCAAAGCCTTTGGAACTGGGCCATATCGCCCAGCCGTCGCGGCTTCTGGCCATCAATGCAACGTCATGTTTTGCAGAATGGTTGTAAGCGTTCCGTCCAGCTAATGCAGGCATCCCCAGTAGCTATTCATTCATGACACTAACCGCCAAAGGGATCAGGCAGTATTCCCGCAATACGCTACATTGCCCCCAAACTATTTAGGAATGTAGCACAAGGGTGGCTTTTGACATAGAATCAGGTTTGAACCAGCAAGAAGCCGCAAATGATGTGTAACAACGGTTCATTCGAAGACGAGATATCACTCAGGCCGCGATGTTAGACTGGTGTTCGGCCCAGACAATTTCCTCTTACACCTACATACCGAGAGCTCTCAGCTGGGCGTGCCTTCAAACCGCAAACCTAGCACAAGTGTACCGTAGAAACCTTGTAGATGACAGATATTAGCGTAAAGCCTATCCAGCTATAGACTAGGAAGCGACCTTAGAGCACGCCACGACCCGCCTAATCTTGCAGCTGTCAGGTACGCGAGGCCGAGTTATATCCTTAGTAGTTGCTTCAGGATGTCTGACAGATGCGATCTCGATGGTCCGCTGATGTCATGGACATGCTAGCGTCGATCAAGCGACGAGATCGAGTGTTGGGGCCATGGGTTCTCGGAATTGCGTATCTCGAACACAACTTCTGGACAGCAATAACGAAAGCTGAAAATGAAGTGGACGAGCACACGTGAGTAAGTAAGACGTGTTCCAAGATAGACGTGGTTTGTTCTGGATCTCTGAAAAGCAAACATACACATGTGTACTAGAAAGATAAGGCCGTGTTGTTGATAGGCTAGCCGGATGCACCGAACTCTGCCGTGTTAATCGTCCCTGGTCCAGTATACAAGGTAGGTGCTGGACACAATCGTTGTCATGTTAGGAGATCGGCCAGATTTCGGTCAAACCTTCGGCAGCTGTAGAGGTGCCGGACGGGCCAACGCCGCGGACGGGCCAACGCCGGATTTCTCCCCAACAGTACTATCACAAACTTGAAGCTGTAGAGCTCTACATAAAAGCTATTATCGCGAGAAACTCTAGTATAGTAATCTCGTAGTATTGTTTATTTGATCTATCTACTGATATTTGATTGGCAGCTTGATGGGGCGGCCTGAACGCGAGCGTGGTGATGGTGGTGCAGCTGATCGATTAGCTCGCTGCGCACCACCACTACTACTGCCAACGATAATATTCTTTGATGCTAGCTCAGTAGAGCGCTTGAAGGTAGGCTTCTTTCCCCTTTGTGAGATTTTGATAGCTTTCTGAAGTCGTTTGTGGGCGGCTTGGCGGGCTATCCGGTGGGCAGCTGCTTCAGCTTTCTGCCTCTCACGATCTAGTTTTGCCTGTGCCCGCGCCCGCCGTCGCGCATCTAGTTCTTGAG